GAGCGGCTGTGCCCCGCCTGACCTCATTCCCCGTTGTCCCTGGGGAAGGGCAGCAGCCAAACCCACCACTCCACCTCTGCTCTCTTCCCGCAGTGGTTCGGTGCCCCAAGCCCGCAGTCGAGAGGGGAAGGATGACTCCGCAGAGGTTCACGTTTCCCTACGGAGCGGCCGTGCGGTTCTCCTGTGACGAAGGCTTCGTGCTGCAGGGCGATGCCGAGAGCCGGTGCCTGGCCGACGGCGCCTGGCACCCTCCCCTGCCCACCTGCCAGCCAGGTGGGTACCAGCGCCAGGCAGATGCCCTGCGGCTGGTTTGCACAGGCCAGGGGTGCTGCTCCTTTGAATCGCCAGTAACGGGTGGCATTTGCAGGGAGTTTTCTCCTCAGTCTCCTCCTGTTCCATTCTTTTTTGGCATGCATTTTCCTTTTAGTTCGGTGTCCCCAGCCTTCGCAACAGGAGGACCTAGTGATTCGCTCTCCTAAATTGTGGTACGAGGTGAATGAAACTCTGCTGTTCTACTGCAGACGTGATGTCTATCGATCAGTAAATTCACAAACTGTCTGCTCAGCTAAGGGCACTTGGATACCACCGCTCACGTGTGTAAGTACCACCATCTGCCCAGGCTTTGTCTGTATCTTGCCCCATTTATAGCCTGGGACGGCACCGGTCCGACTTCACGAAGGGGTGTGTTTCGTTACGATCGGGCTGGCCTGATTGAGGGGCTGCAGGAGGAGGGGGGTGCTCAGCACGTAGGTCCTTGCAGCAGAGTCTCATGCCCTCTGTCTTTGTTTTGGTTCTTTTAAAGAAAAGTCGTGATACCTGTGAGAAGATCCTTCGCAACAGGGAAACTTTCCAGTGTGGGGTTCCTCTGACAGAACTGAAAACTCTGCTGGAAGTCCAGAAACTGTACCTGGAGATCCAGAAACTTGAAAGGGAGCTAAAAGCCACAGCATACGGCTGACTGTCATCACTGGTATCATAAGAACTGTCCTCTTTGCGTGTTGAATAATCATGATGGCTGTGGATTTTTCATGACTTCGTAATTTGTGCTAACGCTTAGGTAGCCAGAACCAAATTTACCAATCAGTCAGGAACAGATCCGGTCATATGGGGAGTCAGAAAGTGACTCCTGGCTCACTCTGTTAGAGCTCACTGGGTTGGGATTGCACATCACTTTATCCTTTTTAACGCTTTACATTTAGGTATGTTTGTTATACTGACAAGTGCGCAGTTAGAAAGGAACTGAATGGAAAGTAAACTTTTGTCAGAGCCGAGCAGATGCCGTACAGACAGGCATGAACGTGGTAAGAGCCACCAGCCCGCGCTCGCCCCACGACCGCTGCACCGCTTCAGCTGCAGGCCAGTAGAGCCCGTTGCCACTCTGTTCATATATGTTGCATTCATTATTGTGAACAAGCACTTAGCTGCCTAATTAGCTGTGACCTTCAGAGCAGGCACAATGAAGAAAACTTCCAAGCCTGTCTTCTAGCAAAACGAAAGTACCAGGTTTTCTTCCCCAGCAGGACAGAGGTATCTGAGGCCACGGCAGTGCCACTCGCTGCGTCTTTGTGTGTGCACCAAGAGCAGTTGCGGGACAGAAAAGTGTAGAGAAAGAGCGAGCTGAATTTTTTTCTGCAACGTCCAGTAAAGGGGAAGAGCTCTGTTAGCACGCATCTTGTGATCGGAACAGTACTCCTTCACCACGAGATTATAATAAAGCTGCAGTTGTAATGACAGCTGTGTCTGGCTTTTAATAATTCTGTCCTATCTATAGTAAAGAGGTGCTTCAATAATCATTGCTTGATTAGGCACGGAGGGCTGCTATTCCCTGAGTGCAGTGGAGGCCAAGTGAATGCGCAGCGCTGCCCAGCGCATCGATCAGCGCTCCCTGCACTTCAGAAATGAAGCCAGGATGCTGCAGAGCGATTCTAGCTGTGAAGTAGCTTTATTCCCGCTGTCCCCACTGGGGAAGAAGGCAGAGCAGCTTCCATCCCAGGGCACATCCTTGCTGGAGAGCTGAGGGGGGGCAGCCCTCGCTGGGGGGTGGCAGTGTCAGCGTGGCTTGTCTGGCCTGTCCCCAACTTCCCACAGCTGCTTCCCCTTCCCCGGCACGCTGCAGCGGGCTCTCGGCAGGGAGAGGCTCTCGCCTTCCCACGGCGCTGGCCCGGCAGCTCCCTGCACCATGCGGGTGCTTCTCCGCTGGCTGGGGCAGCTCCTGGCAGTGGTGGTGCTTGTGCTGCAGCCGGCTGGGAGTCTCGGTGAGTGTCACTCCCCTGCTCGTTTTCTTTGCTTCTGGGGCTCAGCTTTGCTTACGGATCAAATATGTAAAGATCGGCTTAGTAAAACTCAGTGGGAGACCTTCCTCTAGCTGAAGTTGCTGCTAACCTCTTTCCGTGCCTGATGTTCTTGTAAGGATGATCTGGGCTCAGTGGCTGCTGCTGATTGCCCATTTCTCCTCTTCAGCTGCACCTCTAGATCCTTGCAAAGAGCCACCCAAAATTCCCAATGCTTTTCAAAAGTCTCACATTGGGGTACGGACGCCCCCACCCTGGGACCGGTGTTAAGTATGGCTGGCTTAGAGGCTATGAGCTTGTCCCTGGGGCGGCCCGGGGCCAGGGCTCGTGTCTGCAGAACTTCTCCTGGTCTGGAGCTCAGAACCGGTGTCGCGGGGAGTATGTCAGCCTTTGCCTCGATCACCCCTGCAGCAGCTGAGAAGTTGTTCCCAGGGTCGGAGGATGTCCGTGTGTCTGGGGATCAAAGACACAAATGGTGGTGAGATGGGGAGAGTCAATTAGACATGAAATAGGTTTTACCATTTAATTAAAAGGGTCATCATTAGCAATTTGTGTGGTACCAGGTTGATACCAAGGTTGATGCTTAAGCACCGAGGCAGCCTGTAGACATCTTGAAGACAGCTGGTGATGCATCCCACAGGCTAGCTGCAGTACAGGAGGAGTGGGGGTTTGCTGACTGATGTCTCTAGGAAGGGGAATAACTCGCAGTTTCTGCCTGGAAGTTGACAGTTCCTTTAAAAACAGGCCTTTGGGGAACTTTCCTAGTGCGCTCCCCAGCCCCTCCCTGCAGGGGCATCTGCTGCCCCCCGGCTGCCAGCACTGCCTTTCCAACCTTTTGGGTTTTTCTTGGTTTTTTTGTTTGTTTGTTTTTGTTTTTTAATTCGCAGTGCTTCTCAGTCCATTTTCCAAATCCAAACCTTACCAACAGGTTGCCGATACCTAAGCTGGGGCCTGGGGAAGACACATACGAGTCTTTCCATGGGTATTGGTATCAAAGGCAGCTGTACCAGGGTGTGAACCAGGTATGATTTTAACAGAGACATGCTGTGTCTTGGTGACCTGCCAGCATCTATTGTAAGGCATGAGGAAATCCCAGTTACAGCTGCCTTTAGTTCAGTTTGCTCTGTTATTACAGTTTGTGACCAGCCCCAAAACATTTCTTATCGGAGATACGGTAGCTGGACAAAAGTTTTTTGTTGGGGCATCAGTGATGTACATGTGTGACAGAGGCGATGCAGTTGTTGGAGAGCCTCTTGTTTGTGGTAAAGCTGGAGGTGGGGTGCCAGCACCCTGGAGTCACCCCACCCCTGAGCGCCCAGATGAGTTGTTCTGCAGCCTGCTAGAGCAAGCGCTATTAGGAAAGGGCAGAAATAGCGTTTAATTGTGTGCGATGGAAGTGCTACACATTTGGAGTCCTACTGACGATGGCTGCTCAAGCATGCTTATTAACCCCTAATCTCTCTGCCTCAATTGCTGCATTTGTTAAACTGATTTGTCTTCGCTTACTTACCAGACGGAGCTGCAGTGGTAGCTGCTCACCGTAGCTGTATTCAGTAAGAATACCCCTGAAAAGCCCTGTTTGTTTGGTGACCCACAGGGGTTCAGTGTCCCGTCCCAGATATCGCACACGGGCAGCTGAAACCTGCACAGAACTTCACCTCCGGCAGCATGGCCGTGCTCCAGTGCGACGCTGGCTACGTCCCCGTGGGTGCCACCACCACTGTGCGGTGCCTGGGAAACGGCAGATGGTATCCGCGGGTGCTCGCCTGCACCCTAGGTACGCACAGATCTCTCTGCTCCTTACTTTGTCTCCCATGGGTAAGTGCCTGCTTGTACTTCACCAGAAGCAGGTGCAGCGTTCGCAGGTGAGGGGTGGGAGGCTGGGCACCGCAGCGAGCTGCACCGTCCGACATTTGGTGGCAGGATTCCCTCTGCTCTTTCATCGCCCCTGGGTAACGCGGCAGGGCTGCCCTGAGCAGGCTGTCCTGCCTTACTGCAGGGTACACCCAAGGAGATGCAAAGCGTACAAGAATAAAGCCTCTCGTTAGACACACATCATTTGATGAAGCTGTCACCATTATTTCTTTCCATTTCAGTTTGCCCCCCCCACCCCACAGCGACACTCAGGGTGGCTGCTGTCCCTTGCTTCTTCCTGGGGTTTCTACCCTTGCCCAAGGGGCAGGCTGGGCTCCCCCAAAGGCAGCACTCAGCTTCGTCCCCAGTGGGTCTCTGGTGGGGACTGCCCAGCTCTGACAGTCCGTGTTGTCCCCTGCTCTGGCACCAGGTCACTGTCCCTACCCTCCTGCCATCGACTATGCAGACCAAAACCCTCATCAGCACAAGTTTCCAGTCGGGACAACGGTGACCTACCTCTGCAGATCCGGATACACTTTGCTCCCCGAAGTATCTCCAACAACTACTTGTCTTAACAATTTCACGTGGTCCGTAATCCCAAGGCTTTGCCAGAGTAAGTATGCCCTTTCCTTTGCTTTGCCAATAAAACATCAATTCAATGATGTGGAAATAACATCGTTTTCAAAATACCCACTAGTGGTGCTGTGCCATAAAGCCTTTATTGAGCAGTGCTTTGGCTCTCACTAATAATAATTTTGCTGTTCAAAGGGTAGCATGGCTGAAAAGAAATAGCTGTAACTCACATTGAATATTTAGCTGTTCAAACAATGATGCAGCTAGCAACATATCATCCCTTCAGCACAGTTTATAGCTAATCACAGGGCTCAGATCATTCTGCCTTCCAAGAGAAATGGTTGTTATCACATAATTACCATCCCCGAGCATGCCAGGTCTGGTTAGAGACATCTGTCAGCATGAACTGGCTGCCTGGCGGGTTCCCTGGGTCAGCAAGACACCACCATGGCAAAATACCCCCGTGCAAATGTCTCCTGTTCTCCCCTCCTGACCCAAACCATGGAAGCTCTTTCTGATGCTGATGTTCCTCAGAGGCGCAGTGTCCCAGCCCAGTTCTCCGCCATGGGAGAGAGGTCAGCCCCAGGAAAGCTGAATACACCTTTGGGCACCAGGTGGAATTTCAGTGTGACCCCGGCTATGTGCTGAGGGGCAGCCAGAGGATCCAGTGCTGGTCTGACGGGACGTGGAGACCCCCCGTGCCGTACTGCGACCAGGGTGAGCGTGAGCGCGGCGGGTGATGGGAATTGCATCTCCGCAGTGGGTAGGAACAGCAGTGAGAAAATCGCGTAACCTGAGCATCGCTTCTCGGAGGAGGTGGTGTTAGGAGAAGGGGTCCAAGTCACAGCATTAAATGGCTTTAATGGTTTCATCTTCTATCAAAACTGTAATTGATTAAACGTGTTGAGTAATGGGACTTGCAGGCATTTCTCAGAGGACTGTTCAAGGGGTTTGTGATACAGTTCCCTGGCCCTGTTTATGAGCAGGATAATTTCTCATGGAAAAGAGGAGGGGATAAGGAGAGGTCAGCTGAAGGGGAGGGGATGGAGGTACATGCCATACTGGGGCCGTGCCGGGGTGGTTAGCTGGGTCGGTCTGGGAACACTGGCACAGCCAGGGCCAAACCTGGCAAGAAGCGAGGAGGACTTTGAGAGCAACCCTAAGTATAAACATCGAGCACTGGCTTCTCCTGTTACTCTCCTGCACTTCTCTGTCTCCCTGACTGAATGAAGAAAATAATTTTTCCTTTCTCTATTCTCTTGAAGTTTGCGGTCCCCCTCCAAAAATCACCAACGGGCAGCACTCTGGCTTGAGAATGGAGCAGTTCCCCTACGGCTTAGAAGTAAAGTACAGCTGTCTGGAGGGTCTGTCCCTCATTGGGGACGAGTCCATCTACTGCACCTCTGATGACGGGGAGAACCTGACGTGGAGCGGACTTGCCCCGGAGTGCAGGCGTGAGTCGTTTCTCCTGTACAGGATCAGACTGAAGCCAGGACCTGGGTGCAATATTAGTGCTCAGCACAATGGGATTAGAAGCAAGCAGGGCTGCCGGGAGATCCTGCTTCCTTTGCAGGCTGTTTTGCAGGCTTGATAGCTCCGGAGTGGGGATGATCCATGTGGAAGTATGAGACTCTAGTTCTCCTACGTTGATGGCCATCAGGTGGTCAGGAAGAG